AAAATATGGGGCCATAGGCCAATGTTTCTAATTGCCTCACGTAGGGACGGCCCTGAGTATATGTTTGGTGATTAGGTTCGGTTTGACAACGAGTAATATTCAGTATACATAAGATAAATTTCGTTTTGGTTTGGTGAAAAAATTGTTGGTTAGGTTTGGGTATGAATTATGTTCAGTGTTGAATCAAATCTTTAATATTATTTGACAAGCAGATTTAATGAAAAAGCTGATGTGTCAACACCATAAGAAAAGTTACTGCAAAACAATGACACCTTATAAATATGACATGGCAAGTTTCCTAAAATAAACGAAATGTTTTGATTGGTTAAGTTAAAACTAAATAAATTTCATTTTTAATAAGAATCAAAAACTTTATGTCATATGTGAATGAATTCTTATTATATAAAAAGAACTATAAATGAAAAAAAAAAAACAGATAGAAAAAAAATTATAAATATCCTTTTAGCTAACTATTTTTATTATAATATTGTATATATGAATAAAAGTAAAAGTAAAAATAAAAATGAATCTATATGACTTTGGTTATATGTAAAAATTCCAGGCTATATTTTTGGTTTAAAGCATCTCTAACCCATCTTTATTTTAAATCTTCTAATTTAGAGGAAAAAAATATTGTTACTTTTTCCTCCAAATAAAAATAGGTTGTAGAGAAGTCCACTTATATTTTAGAGAAAAAAATGGAAAAATACATTGGAGATGATCTTAATGTTTAATATATTATTAAAAGTTAAGAAAAAAAAGTATTAGTCAAAAAATACAGAAAAACAAATAAAAATAATTTTGATCGATTTTATGTTTTTATTTGAAATATTTAAAAAATATTATCTTACAATACTAATTCTTTCATGCATATATTTTTCCAATATATTAAAACATTATTTCATAAATCAAATTTTGTATATGTTGTGAACCATTATATTATATATTAAAAAAATATTACAGTTTGAAACAAATCAACTCTTAATTTTTAATAACAATCAAATATTAGATATGTTATTTTACATCTTAAATCATACACATATAAGTTTAGATCCGATTGGCTTAAACGATTCGGTTACAGAGAGTTTATCAAAGCGAGCGATTTCAGATTATAAAAAAATGACGAAGAGATGAGCGGAGAGCTATCAGATAATTTTATAAAATATGATTTCACAAATTTGATAATCCTTGTTTATTATATTTTTACTGAGAAACCATATATTATAAAACGCTGAAAAATAAAAAATTTTGATTAAATACAAAACGATAGAAACGATTTTCGTGATTATTGTTAAACATTATAACTGATTTGTGTAAAAACATAACATTTACAGAAAGTATCAGAAAAGCTTACCAACACCTAAATATTATAACTCACTTATTTCTAACTCATACCTACATGCATAAATATACTTATTTTTTTTTTTTAAATCAACCATACATTATAAAAATATATATTACAAAACATATACTTTATTATTTTCTTTTAACATATGAAAGCCATACTTCAGTTTTCTTACAAATATGCGTGTAATTATAAATATTAGTTGTGCAAAAGTCAAACTCACATGCAACTTTTTGTGCATACAGTTTGTTAACCTCAATTACACTCTAATTTTAATTTTAGTTATTAGACAATTTATATATTTTTCAAAAAAAATATTATATGTCCTAAGAGCGGTGAGGTGATTGGTATGCACGAATGTGCAGACCAACCATCTAGCCGCTCTTAGGATAAGTAAATATAGTAAAATTTATTTTGGTTTAATTAACAATAGGCCAGAAAAAAAATGTATACTTAAAAATATATAGATTGGCAAGATTATATTGTATAAGGAGAAAAACAAAGTATAGTATATATAATATTCAAAACATATTATAAAATTTTAATTATTATTTAATATAACTTTTATATTTGCAATTATATGTTACTGTAATGAAAAAATTTCAAAAGACACAAAACGATAGGAAACGTTTGTGTGATTGTTGTTGAACACTAAAACTGTATATGTATAAAAACATAACGTTTACATAATATATAAAAAAATTAATTAGTACTTAAATATTATAACTAATTATGTCTATCAAAAAAATTATACATGCATATGAATGCAGGCCACAAATAAAAATTAAATAAAATTATATATTTTAATATTTTTCCATTTATTTAGTTATCATATTTAATTTTTCTTTATCTAAGGAAATATATTGAAATCTTAATTTATGTTTCTTTATCTTCCTTTTCTATTAAAATCTATAATATTTTATATTTGATTATATTTATTTTCTATTATTAAATATTTATAATTTTGTTATTAATACATAGTTAATTTTATACAAATTAAACATCTTCAATATTATATTAATCATAATTGAACATATTAAATATTTTATAGCATGCACACAGTGCACGCCGATCACCTAGTTTTTAGTATAACACAAGAATTAATTTTAAAAAAAAATATTCTTAGTGTATTAATTAAATGTATTGTTCTATAAAATTAATTTAAAATTCTACCTTTTAAATACATATTGGTTAGTTTGGCTAATTTGATTTGGTTTTATAAATTGTTGATCTGGTTCGATTTTAGATTCGACAAAGATAAATTTGCTACTTCCAAGACATTTTAAAATTTGATCTGAATTTGAATTAATAAATTTTGATCATGATTTCCTCCGTTTTATAAACAGTGTTATTCTAAAATTTTATTTTTATTTTATAAAAAGTGTTATTTTATATTTTACAATGCATATTTTTAAATAAGTATTCAGCTTTAACATTTTTATTTTATTGTTTTAATTAGAGAAAATACTATTTTATGTGTGATCAAGAATTAAAAAAAAAAATTTTATAAAATATATTAAAATAACACTTTTTATAAAACAAAGGGAATACGGTTTAAATTAAATTTAATAAATAGTTCAAGTGAATTTAAGTACATAATCTATACATTCCATAACAAATCATTGTAAATTACACTCTATATTTCAAATAGCTTATACATTCCATAATAAATCTTTGTAAATTCTATATTTCAAATAGTTTACACATTCCATAATAAATCATTGTAAATTCTATATTTCAAATAGTAAATAGTAAATATTTAATATAGTTTGTATTAATGTAGTTGATGTGTCACCATATTCATGCTCATTTTCTACAATATACGTACCTAATTAACTTTTATTTTATTCATTTTTTATTAAAAGTACGTTATCTACTGAGATATAAACAGAACTTTCTGATTATTCTAAATATAAATAGTAGTACAGTACAAAAATTATAAATAAATAATATTGGAATTTAAAATTTAAATATTTTATTAATTTATAGATTTTAATAAGTAATTTAGTAAAATATTTTTTAAATTATCTTTTATTTTAAATAAAAAATATTTTAATTATATCTTTGTTTGATTTCTTTATTAAAATTTTGTTTTATTTGATTTTTTATATATTTTCATGTTTTCTAAGTTACTTTTTTAAATGTTAATGATGAGTGTGAAAATGATACTACAATATCTTTGAAAAACATTATGCATAAAAAGTAATAAATGCATTTAGAATTCTTCATAATCATATTATTAATTAGCAAGTAAGTTGGATTGTGGTTGAGTTGTGATGGTTGATTATTCTTTGCCCTTTATATAAAAAAACTTTATTTACCCTTAATAAAATTAACAAATTAATATAATTAAATTTTAATTGATTTTTGTTTTTTTTAAATCTAGATTTCTAAATTCGAGTTTATATCATAAGAATATTCAGTTTACTAAAAAAGTAGCTAGCATAAATAAAATAAAAACATCAATCCTAATTATTTTCTTAAACTAATTTTAATTTGATCATTTAATTTATTAATATTTTTGATTAACCAAATTGATTTATGCGACCACAAGTAAAACTTCAAATCTTATGAAAATTGATTTATACGGCCAAAAAATAATATATCTCATGAAAATTATATTTTTTAAATATATTAATTTTAATTTCAAATAATTATTTAGTTTTTTTATTTATAAATAAATTAATATTATTAATTTTTCAAAAATTTAATCAAACCCGCACAAGATGAGGGAAAACACCTAATTTTTAGGTATAGTTTAAGAAAATAACACCAAATTTTTGTGAAATAATAAGAAATATTCCCTCCATCTTTTATATAAAATATTTTAATACTTTATACATAAACTAAGAATTTTAGTATAATATCTATTATAACCTTATCTAATATTAGTTAAGTTTTAATTTATTAAATAATATGAGGGTAAAACAAATTATTTATCAACAAATTTTGCATAAAAATCTAAAAGTATCTTATAATTAAGAATAAAACCAAATTCTTAAAATATAATTAAAAATGGAGAAAGTATTAAATATAAGTTCTAAAAAGATTTTAAGTTTAAAATAACAACAACATTAAATTCATATTTTAGTAAATTATCTTAATCAAATATATTTACATAACTTTTATATAATAAGTATTAATTTATAATATTAATAGAACTATATTTTATATAGATTTTTTAAAAACATTATTAGTTTATTAATTTATGATAAATTTTAAAATGATGTAAACTTAAAATTAACTAAATTATTAATTTATTGAATATTAATTTATAAAATATATTATCATAACTTAATGCACCTAGGAATACAAAAATTCGATGCAACGAAACCACCCAGACAAGTTGATGTCTATCCACGTGCACCACATTAACAAAAGCAACGTTCTTTGCCTTTGTACTTTTTTGTCTATTTTATATGTGTTCCGGTCGGTGATAAATTTATAAATTATGATTGGATCTTTAGAAAATTTTCATTAAATATATCATTGGTCCCGTAATCAAGGCACGTAAAATGCCAAGCTTCATTACGGAATTCAAAGTATTTAAGGTGTTTTATTTTAAAACTATCTTGATACAAACAGAAAATTAGATTTTGGAATTAAAATATATATAGCGTATTACTGTTATTTGCTTATTGTTAAACCACAAGCTCCCGTTTGTGTCAAAGTTTGAATAAATACAGCAAATAAAGAAAGACCAAAATTAGTGTGGTGGTGACTCTTTTCAAAGTTGACGGCTCATTGAGCGTATACATGATACATCTTTGGGGTTTAAAAGCCTCTCCACAATAAACCCTAATCATCTTCTGTAGTTCTTTATCACTTAACTCTCCAATGGACCGCAGAGTCTCGCCTCCACCACAACATCAAGTTTTCATCAATTTCCGCGGAGATGAGCTGCGCAAAAACTTCATCAGCCATCTCGTGGAGGCCCTTCAAAGGAGTAAGATAAACTTCTTTACAGACAAGCAGGAGCAGAAAGGTGAAGATCTGAGCAATCTTTTCAAGAGGATCGAGGAGTCAAAGATCGCACTAGCCGTTTTCTCTAAAAGGTACACTGAATCAAGGTGGTGCCTAGATGAGCTTGTGAAGATAAAACAACGTGTGGATCTAGGCCAGCTCAAGGTGTGATCTATGACCATTTATATAAATACATTTTTTATTATTATTTAAGATCATTTATTGAGTTAATAGCTACAGTAGTGTAGATATGCATATTTTGGGAAATTGGTATACTTACTCTTGGAATGTCTATATACTCTCTATCACAAGGTGCTTCCCATCTTCTACAATGTGACTACAGACCATGTGAAACTCCTTAATGGAGAATTTGGCTCCAATTTCGAGATTCATCAATCACGACTTGAGCAACCCAAAATAGATGAATGGAAAGAGGCGTTAGCATGTATCTCATGGAAGATTGGCTTTCCGTTCATAGATAATAATGGGTACTAATAATCTTTTTCTTGGTCAGACCACATTTAAGTCTTCATTTCAATACATTCTATGAAATCTCCGTTTGGGATTATATTGAGATGAAAAACAATTTCTCTAAACTCTACTCACTTTCCATGTTTCATGGCTTTTAAATTAATCTTCTAATTAAACTCCTCAATATTATTGGTCCTTGTCAAGATTTGTGGACTTCTATCTGAAAATCAAATGTTCTTTAGTGGTTAGTTATCTATTACATATTAGATTAATTTTCTTGCGAGACTCCTAACTTATATATCTACTTGGTTAGTTCAAAGGGTATATTTACTTCATAGATCTGTTAGTTTGATTTTTGGTGAACTATAATATAATTGAAGTGTCTCATTTTGCTTTTATTTTGGTAATTAGTTTTAGCAGCAGCACAGAGAGCGAGTTCATCGACAGTATCGTCAAGAAGGTCTTGGAATTGCTACAAGCCATTCCCTCGGTGCAAACCCCAAATTCACTTGTCAACAAACTTGCGGAAAGAGGAGAAGCTTCTTCTAAGACAACAAAGAGTTCTAAAAAAGCCTTCAAGGCTCAAAAGGGAAACCTAACGAGTCCACCTAATGCTGCGACCGTAGGCTTTACTGGAAGCAACTCTTTAGCTCCTCAAGCCTTTGACTCCGGTACATATATCACGATTCATTCTGCGCAGGCACCAACTCCGGCCAATGCATTGAGACTCAGTGTGCCGCCGGCACAAGACCCTTATAACCCGGGGATTCAACTTGGCCATGGATCTGGTTTCACCGGTACAAGACACTCATATGACGGCTATCCAATTAGATATGGCAACCATGAATCCGCGGGAAGAGTAGAGTCTTCTTCTATGACTAACAATTCGAAGAAACCTCTCAAGCCTTCAAAGAGAAACCTCGAGTTTACGGGGACAAATGGATGGATATCTTAAGGTAAAAGTATAGAATCGAATTTTCAGCTTATGGTTTCATTTGCTACATGTATAAGACCTTCCGGTTATTTATTAGTATTACCGTCGGAGTAATAGTACTCGACGATAGACTATTATATATTTTACTATAATGTAAGGTTTTTTATGATAATAATGAATATTTTTTTTTGTCTACCATCTATATATCTATATATATAAAGTAATTTTTTCTCTCTTCTGGTGTTGCCACGTCATTAACTACATCATTAATTATTTTTTATTTAAATTATTTTCAAACACAAAATAACATTAACATTTAATATAAAAAAATAAAAAAGACAATTATAATATGTTGTCAGAAAATAAAATAAAATAAAACCAAAAAAATCAATATATATATTAGCTTCAAATATGACAAGATTCAATGCAGAAATTTACGAGTGTGCGATGAAAATTGGTAATTGGAACGACGAAAAATAATAAAAATTAATATTAACATTCAGTATAAAAAATAACAAACATAAAAAGATAATTATGATGTGTAGTCAAAAAATAAAAATCAACAAAATACAAAATAGCAAAACCAAAAAATAATGATATACATTAGCTCTGAGTATTTTATGATTCAACACGAAAATTTACGAGTGTGTGACGTAAAATGATAGTTAAAAAGACAGAAAATAATAAAAAATTAATATTAACATTTAATATAAAAAAATAGCAAACATAAAAGACAACTATAATATATTTTCAGAAAATTAAAAATCAATAAAAAATTATAAAATAAATAATGATATATATTAGCTCTGAGTATTTCAAGATTCAAGGCAGAAAATTACGAGTGTACCAGAAATTGGTAATTAGAAAAATGGAAAATAATAAAAATTAATATTAACATTCGATATAAAAATAGCAAAAAATAATTATAATATGGTGTCAGGAAATAAATAAAAAAAATCAACAAAATACAATATAAAAACAAGATAAAAAACTAATAAATAATAATATACATTAGCTCTGACTATTTCAAGATTCATGACGGAAAATTACGAGTGTGTGACACGCAATGATAATTAGAAAGACAGAAAATAATAAATATTAACATTAACATTCAATGAAAAAAAAGCAAACATAAAACACTAAATTATAATACGTTGTCAGAAAATAATTAATAACAATAATAATAATAATAATAATAATGATATACATTAACTTTGAGTATTTCAAGATTATAAGCAAAAATTTAAGAGCATATGATGGGAATTGGTAATTAGAAAGACGGAAAATAATTTTCAAAGAAAAACCAATGAAAATGGAATAAGAAATTCAGGTAACGAGACGGGTTCGATAAATTGCATTATCTAAAATCTATTCACAAATTCTCAATAATTTGGATAAAAGTCAACTTCAAAAAATATTTTGGGAAAATTCTGGAAAGTCAAGAAATTTTAAAAAATCTATATAATTTTAAAAAATTTAACATACACAAATTTTATGTTTATTACCAGTTGGACATTATGGGTTATGCATATTTTCAAAAGTTTATTTAAATATGAATGTCAAGATACAAAGCAAAACAAAAATACATTTCTCTTATTATGGTTTATTTTGGAAGTGTTGTTCATTTGGCTTACAAACACACAACTGAATAAAATATAAACAACATAAAAATCAAAGATTGTAATACCATTCAATAATTATTTTACAACATAGATCAGGAATTAATAATATAGAAGATTCTAATAATGAAAAATTAGAACCAAATAACTTTGATTAAAAAAATAATATCATACCGATAGTTAAGTAAAACTAAAATTTACTTAAAAAATAAAAAGTAACAAAACAAATAAAGGCATCTGCGTGAAGTGCGGACTGACTACTAGTATATATATATATATATATGGGGCGGATCTAGAAATAATATTTTTATAAGACACAAATAAAATTATATTTTTATACATATGATATTTCTTCCTCCATTAATATATAATAAACTAGTTTTAAAAATAGTCTGTAAGCCGATCCAAATAGTATAATTACTAAAAAGTATTATTAACTTAATTAGAATATAAAGCAGGTGTATAAGATATTGATTTATTACATACATTCACATTAATAATAAAACAACAATATCAATGTGTAAAAGAAATGCAAAAACAAAATATAAAATGCAATCAATCAGAAGACAGAATAAAAGTGTAGAAGAAGACAAAAAAAATATGAGATAAATAGGAGACAATGTGATATATAAAAAATTAATAACAAAGGTTTGATAGCTAATTAAAAAAAAGTGGGAATGCAATCAATCAAAAGAATAAAATCATGGAAGAAGACAAAAAAAAACATATGAGATAAATAAAGAAAAAAAAACTATGAGATAAAGAAGAGAAAATGTGATAAATAAAACATTAATAACAAAAATTAAAAGAGTGGCACATTGAATAAAAACACTATAATTTTTGTTATATTTTTTTCATTTCTTTTACACATTGATATTGTTGTTTTGTTATTAATGTGAATGTTTTATTCAATGTGCCACTAATTTTGTTTTATTTCTTTCAATTTTGTTTTACACATTAATATTGTTATTTAATTTTGTTTTATTTCTTTTAAAAGAGTAGCACATTGAATAAAAACACTAATTATTCAATGCGCCACTCTTTTAACAAATAATATAAAAACACTAAAGAACAGTGCGAATGCAATCAATCAAAAGAATAAAAGCAGGAAGAAGAAAAAGAAAAAAAAAGTATAAGATAAATAAGAGAAAATGTGACAAATAAAAAATAAATAACAAAAATTAAAAGAGTGGCAATCGAACTCTTCACATCAATAACCAACTGTCCCAACCAATAAATACTTACCATAGTAATAGAACACTCTATAAATCAGTAGGAGGCACGTCCTACAACCTTTACCATTGTAAGACATGAAGTTGACCAAAAAAAAAAAAAAAAAAAAAAAAGACATGAAAAAAAAACTCAATGTTAACCCCAAAATAGTTGTTGTTTAAAAAAGGAAATCTTGATTGACAATAAAATTACAAATAAAGGAATGAGGATGATACATACCTTTTCCTTTCGCAAGATTAATCAATATACATCAAATAATGGAAATTAACATTTATGCTATTACTATTTTTTCCCTTTTTGTTTTCCATACAAACAGGTAACTTGGGTTATATTTATGTAAAAGAGTTCATGGTTTTTTTTACTCGATCCTCTATATCCAACTCAACAAAGTCTCGGAGAAAGAAGATGAGTTCGCATAATCGACTCAACAGTTTCTTTGGTACGCAAATTAACTCCTTCACTTTGATTTTGGTCTCTTGTTCATATTATGAATCCTAACACTCTTTTATCACCAGAGAATCAAAATTCTACGAGAGAATACACATTGAGAAAAATGTACAACTATTATCAGGGACCAGTTTACAAGGTATAGTTTCATCTCTATAGCTAAACTTATGTTCAATTAGTTATCCTAACCGCTTATCATATCATGGAAACAGAATTGATTCATAAGGTTTCTTCGCATGTTTTGCAGATGTTTTCCAGATTTCCATCACACAAAACAAAACTAAGCCCCGCACGGATCGAGCGGTACAAGAAGATAATGGACTCTATGACAGACACAGGTAACACAATTCATCAAAAAATTATTTTCTTCTTCTTTCTTTCGCATTGTTCAAAAAAAGACTTAATTACTTTGATAATATGTGGCAGAGCTTGATGGACTAAATCCAGAGCACATGAGTGAGGCGCGGATGAAGGAGATAGCCAGAGGATCAAGACAGGATGTGAAACAAGTTATGGAAATGCTGAAAGAGTACAAGAGACTAGAGAAAGTATGGATAAAGCTAGAGAGATATATGAGCGATTCAACGCAGATGGACATGTCTGCTCTGTTTTGGAATGAGATCGCGACTCCATTCCACGTAGAGACGTTCACACAGCCGGAATATTTTCCTCTAAGGCTTCCTCCCCGGAAGCTTCATCCTCGGAAGAGGCAGCTTCCTCCCAACAAGTCCGAGTTAGTGGTTTTGGTGAAGTGGGCTCTAATTTTAGGTTTTCTGTATATTCTGTTTCTTAGCCATAAGATTATAGATTCATCTCATACTAATAGTTAGTTATTATATATATATATATATATATATATATATATATCATGAGATATGATTCAATAGAATGAGTATTTATTCCACTAGAGATTTGTGGAAGAGATGAAAATTGTTTGTTGACGACTGCTCACACCTTAATTGCATACTAGATGATCTCAGGACTATGTTCTGTAGCTGCCAACTTGTACTAATATCTACACTGATCTTGATACACTGATATCAATCATATCTACACTGATCTACAAAGCCAATACAGCCAGAACCTTATCGTGGTATACACAAAAACCAAGAAGCCCTCAACACTATCAAACGTCTTGCACCATATCTCTGTAGGGAACAGATCCTTCAATACAAGTATATAGACCTGGAAAACCAAGGAGCAATAACGATTTTGAGCTTAGTATATTGCTTTAAGGGTATGCTTATAAGAGTTCTTTCTGGAAAAAGGAGATCAGTTCTCATACCAAACAGATCAGAAGTTCAGAGGAGAGTCCCCATCTTTTGCCTCTTCTTCAGAAGATGGATTGGACTTGTCGATATCAGCATCATAACCCGACTCTCCATCTTTTGCCTTTTCTTCAGAAGATGGATTAGACTTGTCGATATCAGCATCATAACCCTCCTCAATGGATGCTGGAAGGGATGATGGATTGCAACTGTCTTCACGACAAAGAGGACAAGATCTGCGTATATAGATGATAAGAGATCAAATATGATAGATGATCAGAATTGTGTTTGTATTTGTTCATTACCTGTTATAATCCATGAGCCATCTATCAAGACAATCTCCATGGAACTCATGAAGACAGGGAAGCTTCTTAACACTGTCACCTTTCTTGTAATTTTCCAAGCAAATCTGACATCTAAAGTTGAAAACAAGTTAGATAAGTTCAGCACAAATCAGTAGGGAAAGAGAAATCGTACCTTGCAGTGCCTTTTGACTTGGTATAAACCTTCATAGGCAATGCATGAACCACTTGGTTAGGTGCAGGAAGTGGTCGTGGTCTTGGTTCAGTAGATGCTGGAGGAGAAGGTGTTCGCGGAGATGAAGATGATAGCGAAGGCGTTGATGGAGGAGAGGGTGAAGAAGAGTCACCATACACAGCTCTTGTGGAATCGTCTGATGTATATCAGAGTAGAAATCAGATGACAGAGAAGTGTGAAAATCAAAATCATCATCATCTGAGTATAGAAGTTACCAAATCGAGCTATCACCCATTTGAACAACCATTTGAAGAAGGAGAAAATGGCAAACAGAACGAGTATCAAAGAGAGAACCTGCACGACAGACAATTTGAGATTTTCATGTAAGGAAAACCCCCAAAATAATCGTCTTAAGATTTCCTAAATCAACCGAATCGTATAATTTTCCCAAAATAAGATGATTCAACGAAATTTTTCCGCGAAGATCGTTACCCCTAATTTCGGAACACAAATATCAGTTTCTCTTTCGGAATCAAACTTTGTCCCCTAGTCTCGGGAAAAAAATATCAATTTCGCTTTCAGAACCCAACTGGTTCCTGCAATCTCGGATTCTAATTTCTCAATTTCACTCCGATTAACTTAACTAAATCAAAATCTAGTTCTAAATCTAGATAATCATTAAATTTAACCGGAGAGAGCGAGAGATTCGAGCGGACAAAGATATTACTCACCAGCGCCATTTTCGCACTTGAAGCTGCTTGTTTCCTTTTCCAGAGATTTTCCAGAGTAATGTGCAAGAAAGACGGGAAGGGAAGCGGGAAAGGAAGTGTAGCTCGAGTCCAGACATAAACCGGTGTCGTTTTAAGTGTTTTTTTGTCTCTTAATTATTTTATTTTCTTTCCCCCTCTTTTTTGAAGAACGCCTTGTTTTAGAAGTAATTCACTAATAATTCTCATCACACAATGATATTATAATGTAAATATACAGTTTTATTAATATCATAAATTAATAATTATTATAAAAATAATCTTATACAAATATATAAGTATGATAGTTTACTAAAATTTGAATATATATTTGTTTAATTTTATCAAACCTGAAATAATATTATAATTTTCTATATTTTGATTTTTGATATAATATTTTTTCAAATATTTCTATTTTTTTTATATATATAAAAAAAAACTAGTCATAAAAGGAGCCGGTTGGTATGATGAGTAAACCGAATCTTCCGTTTGCTATGGGTAAAGAATGGTTCTTGCCGGTTTAATGAAAGCAACCGGTTCATAATCATTAATTGAGAATCCTATTGACCGCGGACGAGAGAACCAACACGGTCGGTACGAAATGAGGATCGGTCTGAATCTCATCGTCATCCCGAGAATTTCCTAAAATCATACTGACTCCTCCGGCTCGTTTAACTTCAAGGCTTTTACCGATTCTTGAACCGTAAACTCTCAAACATAACACCACTTTACCTCTCACAAGATCCGGTGAAAGTAATAACCCATGGAGCTGGATTCGACAGCGTTTCAGCTCCTGATCATCATTTTTTTTATGAATTTTTTTTGTTGAAAGTAAAATAATTCACGTTAAGATTGATGGTTTAGGAAAGAATTAACAAATGATAATATCACCTTTAATAAATCTCTAGAGAAAACACTAAAAACTCAATGGCATTTCATGTATTATAAGTTTGTAACACATGTTTTCTGTTTGAATATAGATGTATTACTCAATTAATAGTAATTTTCTGTTTTGCCTTTCTCTATAATTACCAACAATATATTATTTACATATATTTATTTTTAATCGATGAATTCATAGTGAATTACATATTTTCACGATACTCTAAGCGAAAAAAAGAATGCAAAATACATAATAATTTTTTAGCAAAAAAAAAAAACAATTACATACTAATTTGATTTTGTTTTGCATTGGAGTTTGTTTGCATGCATCAAATTTAGTGACAAGTATAATAATATTACAAAAAATATTTGCATTGAAGTAAACATAAAACTAGAAGAGAGCTCTCAACGGATCAAGGAACTAAAGAGTCGAAGAAACAAAGTTACTGAATCGTCCAAGGAAAAATTAGAAGAAGATGCGGCTGAGAGTTCTTTCTTCTTAAAAGCGTATCCTTTATTTGCGTTCCAAAACGCAATCATGAACCATTATACATTTTTCTACTACAACAAACTAAGAGGCAATGATTTAAGGATCAGATTTCAAAATGATCATATTTAGTCGCATTATTTTATAGATGTGGTAGTTTAGGAAACTTCTTCTCCAATCAATTCTCTGATTATTAATGAGCAACCACGAATCCGTGGAAAGAGGAGACTCTTTTTCTATGACTAACAATTCTAAGAAACCTCTCAATCATTCAACGAGAAACTTCGAGTTTACAGGGACAAACGAGTGGATATTTTTAGGTGGTATAGAATCGGATTTTCAGCTTAATATATGGTTTCATTTGCTACATAAGACCTTCCGGTTATTAATATTAACATCGGAGTGATAGTACTCCGGGGATAGACTGTTATGTTTCATTTGTATAATGATTTGAGGTTTTATAATAAGATCATAAAGATTAATGCATTTTCTTTTTGTCTTTAAAGGGTACATGGTGAGTCCACCTAAAGCTGAGAATATCGTCCTATCATTGGAAGCAAATCATTAGCTCATGATCTACCCAATTTATCCACTATTATGATCTAGCCAAGCAAATCATTAGCTCATGATCTAGCTCATGATAAAGCTGAGAATATCGTCCTATCATTGTATAATGATTTGAGGTTTTATAATAAGATCATAAAGATTAATGCATTTTCTTTTTGTCTTTAAAGGATACATAGTGAGTCCACCTAAAGCTGAGAATATATCATCCTATCAATGGACTTAAAATGATACATAGTGAGTCCACCTAAAGCTGAGAATATCGTCCTATCATTGGAAGCAAATCATTAGCTCATGATCTAGCCAATTTATCGAGTCACAGTCTAACCTCGGTATCTACCAGGCCACAATGTCGCAGTTCAATTTAACAAAATTGATTCAGAAAGATAATTTACGTCACTAAATACAGGATTTAAATAATATACCTGAAACTTTACTTATTATCGAACAAATAAAAAACTATCAATCGTCATGATTCATGTTATTATCTATGAAAAAGGTGTAATACAACATAGAAGATCGCCCAAATCCCAAATTTCACTATCTGGATTTGTGGCATTTGGATAGCTCGAAACTGTTCACGTCACTACTCTCTTAAATAAATATAGTTACTGTGTGTTACAATTAATAATGAAACATGTTATTTTTGGGGGTTAAAATGAAGTAGACTATTTGAGAGAAACTTTGTAAAAATATTTCAAACTTTTATTTATCTTAAAAACTAATTCATGTTTTCAATATCTTGAAAATTAGTGATTTATATTTAAAATTAAATATATAACTTAAATAAATCAGATGTATACTAAGGAATTGTTATTATCAGAATGTAGGTCATAGAGAAGTCATATTAAAAATTACTCTCACCACATGAGTTAGAGTTAGATGGTGGAATGAAGTGAAAATCATCATTTTCATATAATTACGATTATGATAGAACGAGAAATCATCAATATCAGATAATGGACGAGATCCTGGATAAGTAAAGACTGGATTTTGAGATATAAAAAGCTAGAAGCACGACCAAAAATTAGTTTTTCAAGCCAGGAAAAGTGTTTGCATTGTACCAGTTTTGAACTTAATACATTGATCAATCATCACACTTTACTAAATCAAATTTCAAGTAATGAGAGTACCTCATTGTTAGCACAAAAAACATCAAACTTCAAGTTCAAGAAGTAGTACCTCATCGTGGTGAATCCATCCATGGTAGAGAGACATCTGCAATACTTCAGAAATTCTAAAACAACTATTTTTCATAAAAGATTTGATCCGTCCCATAATGGTTTCGGACAATATACAGCAAGGTAAAGAGTTTTCGAAACTGCATCATTTATACTCTCTTT